AATAGGTAACAGACAGGTTGGGGTGGGGGGAATGAATGGAGCTGGTAAATAGTGGAGAGATACTTGGGGAGTCAAATTTTAGGCAGGTTATAATGTGTCATAAATCCAATGTCTATATTTAGTCCATGATTGTTTTGTATCAAGGAGTTTGATGAAGTGAAGTTCATAGGCTTGCCTGCGAAAGGTGTTTTGTAAATTCCCTCTGAGGATTAGAACTGAGAGATTGGAGAGAGAATGGTTTTCTTGTGAGAAATGAGCCCCTACAGGTAATTGGGTATTTTTGTCTTTGATAGATTTCCGGTGTGTGTTCATGCTGGTGCAAAGTTGTTGTTTGGTCTACCCTATACAGATTTTTTTTGCTTCCACACAGATTTTTAAAGGTATCTAGATACCTAAAGATGCAGAGAGGCTCCCAGGGGAATCTTCCAAAGCATCTGGCTAGCTCCCACCTGTATCATTGTGCATCTAAGTGTGACGGGCTGGCTGGCAGTGACCTAGCCCAGGGGTTTTGAAAGGGCAAAAGATGATTGGAGGACTTGGGATTCCCTTTCCTCACCATTCTGGTAATGATTTGGCCCAGGGGTTTTGAAGGGGTAAAAGATGATTGGAGGACTTGGGATTCCCTTTCTGCACCAATCAGGCCCCAGAGACTCACCCCCCTGTGTCCTGATTGACCCCTTGGGTCACCTGGAGGGGGATAAAAGGGGCAGCATGGGCTGACTCAGGAGAGAGACCAGCGAGGGACAACAAGGAAGGGGCTTCACAGAGCTGGTAAGAGCTGAGCCAGCAGGGCAGCAGCAGTGCCCTGGAAGAGCCTGAAAGAGCAGGACCTGCAGGCAGCAGTGGGACCCTCAGCAGCGTGGCGTGTGGCTGGCAGGAGAGGCTCCCCACTGGGCTCCAGGATCCCCAAGGAGAGGCTGCTGCCAGCAGCAGAGGCTCCCCCCGCTCCAGCAAGGATCTGAGCAGCGACCTGAGGGGTTCGCAGCTCTGCTTCCAGCTCTTCCAATCAGAGGCCAGGTAGCTCGATGTGAGGCCAGGGCTCCGGGAAGGTTAAGACCCCTAGCAGGCTAGAGCAGTACCAGCAGGGGTGGCTGTGTAGCAGTGTTCCTGCCTACCATGTGGAAGATTTGGGTTCACGTCCCAGCAGAGGTGACTTGGGATGAGTGAAATAACAAAAAGCAAATCTTCTTGCAGTGGAAAGGGGCCATTGTGTTCCCCCCCTTTCTTGCTCTCCAGGTACCAAGGCCCTATATGTCCTTGTTATTTGACATTTTGCACCTTTTTATATTTCACCAACCTATATTGTTTTTTCTGCTGTTTGTGTTTTATATTTTGTTAACCCTGTTTTTGTCAATGATTGTAAGTGTCTAACCTTTGTTGAATCCTGCCCCCTTGGGGCATTGTAGTGTCCACTATACCCTCTGATTTATGCCTGTTATGTTCCCAGTATTAAAAGGTATATGGTTAAGTCCCCATTGGTGGTCTGGCTCTGCTCTATAGTGGAGGAGAGTCCCTATACCTCCCACAGCACTTGTGCACCTGCTCTGATCCCTTCAATTGGAGAGGAGGTACCTCTCGGAGTACCGCCCGGGTTACATAAGTATCCTTACAAACCTGTCCCTTGGAGCGGAATCCACAACATAGGCCAAGGCTGAGGCAATGTCTCTGTGGGATATTTTGTAAATGAAAGGTTACTGCTGCCATAATTTCAGCATGTGTTCTGTGTTAAATAGTATTATGGCTACTGAATATCCATTGGCTATTGCAAATATTATGTGCTGTATACAAAAGTAATTTATAATCACATTGTGTCAAATGCATTCATTATTGTAAACAGATGGGTGCAATGCCAGATCTGTTGCTTACATAGTACATTGATTTGCATGCAAGAAGGTAATTATATAGTTCTGGACCTAGGCAGAAGTCAGCACATCTACATGTAAATATTAAACTGCAGCACCAGCTCAACATGCTGCACAAGGGCTGGCTGGGGCACAAAAGTGTTTCAGTGTGGTGCTAGCCAGCAGGCAGCCCCTGCACTGAAGCAACCCCATGCCCCAGCCAGCCGAGTCACTGTCTAAGGGTATGTTGGTCCTGCCCAACTGGCTGGGCCTCTACGCCCAAGATTTCACAAAAACAGCCTGCTGCACTGCATGACAGGTGCATGGACTTAGTCCAGTGTCATCACATCACAGTAGCAGTTCCAGTTCAAGGATTACTGGATTACTTAATTAGGAACGTTACAGGTTGTTTTTGACTGTGTGTACATTTTCTCATGGCATTGTATAGTGTGCATCTTCACCTCCTGGGTTTTTAGATGTTGAGGAATTATGTATTTATAGCTGGAGCTCCATGCCATTCTTTGCTCCCTGCCCAAAATAAGACACTATACAAATAAACAAGCTGTATTCCAAACAGACATTTTCAGTTTGTTGATGACTGGGATGGCTGTAAGATGTAAGCAATTAAAATATGAAGATCAGCGGCATTATAAAAGCTAGATCCATATGCACCACTAAAATATTTTCACTTACTGGACCAAATCCAGAATAGCTAGGATGGAATAATCTAAAACTTCAGACCCCTCTAAGTGTATATTACACCTTAAGCTCCCAAGGACCCAGCAAACCAAATTTGGAAGTGATGAACAAGAAGTTGTAAGGCACATCAGCAGTACTGCATGAATCGAAGTTAGATTAGTGCACATTCTGTTGGCGGCAGGAATTAGGTACGAGTTATAGGTGTCCTTGAAATGCCTCTGTACAGGGTTCCCTTGCCAACCACAGTTTTGAGTATCCCCGCTTCGGAGAGGGTGGGGTACAGTCGGAAAATGCCCCCTAAGGCCCTCCTGGGCCTGCTCGTGCCTTTCACCTACCCCGTCCCCCCACAGCTTTGCTGGTACCCCTCACCCCCAACCCACAACCCCTTCTCCCCCCGCCCGGCTGGTTTTGCCAACGATGGTTTTGCCAACCACAGGAACTTTCAGGAACTTTACCCCCGTGGTTGGTGAGGGAAGCCTGTAATGTCAAAACACCATATTGGACTCCTTTAACTTGGTCCACTGTTTCATTTATGTTTGATAAATGCCCAACATATATGTAAGAAATGAAACATTACCATCCAGTGAATTCTTAAATGCTAAATGTTAATGTGAACTCTTGGAGTAAGATGCTGCCTCACATAACAGTATTTAAACCATAGTCACCAGATTTCTAATAAAACCGTCCTTCATTTGATAAATCTTAGTTTTGCAAGTCTGATAAAGTGACGTCTTTTCCCTGTAGCTATATGTTATTTGTTGACCATTGTTATTTAGGCAGGCAAGGGTGTGACAGGTGCATCTCTTCGGGTTCTGTCCACTAGTGGCCCCACCCACCTGTTATGGGCCAACCGCCAGCCTTCTCGCTTGCCATGCCTTGTTGTTGCTTGCTTAATTAAAGGATGTTAATTAAGCAGGAAGCTGCCCATTTTCTGCCCCGATGCCAGAGGGTGCTATCTGTGGCTCCTTTCCTCCCCTTACACCGCAGCCCAAACCTCGCTGATGTACTGGATGTTGTTCGGTCAGTCTCGCTTTCTGTAGCCTTGTCTCACCACTGTGTCCCCTCTAGGGCTCGTCAATCGTCATCCCCTCTGCTCTGGGGCTTCTCTCAGACTCGGGCTCAGGTGGCTGTAGCCGTGCCTGGCCCCTTCTTTGGTGCCGAGGTCAGTGCACCCCAAAAAGCTGCGCCCTCTCTGGCGCCAGGGTCAGTGCACCCCAAAAAGCTGCGCCCTCTCTGGTGCTGGGATCCCCACGCTACCATGGAGCCCCTCTGAGGCCTCTTCCAACCCCTAATAGCCTCACCCGGTCCTCTGGTGTAAACAGCAAACACAAAAACACAAGCCCCTGAGCTATAACATAAAATCTATGCCGTCCAGTGAAACAACATTCAATCCCTACCGGGGAATTCTCCACCCCATAACAGCAATCAGGAGCTGCTTGTGCAGTCAGGCTTCTCCTCGCTGTTTGTCTGGCAGAGCTCCTTCTCCCTTGACTGCCGGCAGGGAACTCCCTGCCTGGCCTTGCCCAGGGTTATATGGGAGCCAGGCCCTGCCCCTTCTG